AATAGAGCTCTTTGCTGAGCCTTGGGAGACCACAATGATCGAAGTGAGAACTGATCTGTCAATATCCACCTTATGTCTTATGTGTTTTGGGTACAGGATGTGTTAGCTCAGCAGAAAACATTTTGTTAATTTCTTTAAAAGCACAATAAACATGACAGCCTGACTGATACATCTGCAGGCCAACATCGGGTCATTACAGATGCAGTGTATTGGCACTGATATGTACAGAGAGATAACAAATGAAAGGAAAACCAAACATAAAGTGTCTCAGTAAGATGCTAGGCCACCACATGTTACCAGAACAGCTTCAGTGCACCTTGGCATTGACTCTCCACATCTGTGAACTCTACTGGAGGGATGAACACCGTTCTTCCAACAGATGTTCCCTCATGTGGTGTTTTGATGATGGTGGTGGAGACGCTGTCTAACACGTCGCTGCAACATCTCCCATAACTGTTCAACTGGCCTGAGACCTGGTGACTGGGAAGGCCACAGCATCATTCACATCATGTGGTCATCCTCATCAGACTATTCAGTGACCCCTTGTGCCCTTTGGATGGGGGGGCACTGTCATCCTGGAAGAGACTACTCCCATCAGGATAGAAATGTTTTATCATCTTGTCCCAACGTACAGACTGGAATCCAGATGAAAATGCTGTATATACAGAAAGTCAAAATAGCACAGCCCTCTCCACCCATGTGTTTTCATGCTTGTTCATCCCTGAAATTATACACAATTTATCAAAGTGGAGAGGATGGCTGAGTGTGAGCAGAGATGGATGGGAGCTAGCCCACATACAGCTGTGATACTAGTAGACGGAGCCTTACATGAAATTGTGAGACAAGACAAAACAAAGAAAGACACTTCTGTAGTCCTATTCAGTGAGCTGCCTGCAGTCAGTCAATTATAAATCATGTTATAAACATGACACATCCTACTGGTACAGGAGGTCAGAATTCTAAAAGTCTGAAAGAAATCTGAAACCAAGATACACATTAGTACTATCTGTACTCTTTAATGACTTACTTGACTTTTAAATGAAGCTTAAAGAATGCGTGCAAACATACTGTATGTGGATCATTGATCAGTGCACTTTAGAGGATTATTTCATAATTAAAACAAATCATTTTCCTCTCCTAATTCTAGTGGTGTATAGACACACAGACAGCTTTGTTATTTGGTATTTTGGTATTTCTTTTATTTGATGTTTTTAGATTTCTGTCTCTGCCCCCACTTCAATGCAGCGATAGTGGATGGAGTATTATTCATTGTCCATTTTGCATGTTATTACCCCATTTAATGACCTTTATCAGTTGTCATCATACCAATTTTATGCTTCAGTTGGGTCAAACTGCACATACCAGTAGTCCAGAAGCAGAAGCAACAAGTCCTCCAACCTATATGGCCCTTTCATATGAACCATAGGAGCATTCCTATGATAGCAGGCGGAATGTCAACAATTCCACCAACACTAATGACAACGTACGTTACTCTGCTAAGCTTTATGGACTTTTGTCACCAGGGAACGAGCCATGAACACACGGCTAGCTAGCAGAACTCCGCTATCCCTGAAACACATCATAAATATGCCATTATGATTATGAAAAGGTTTCATTACATTTTGCCACACAAGCTATTGGTTAGGTTTAGGAAAAAACTACTTGCTTACACTTAGGAACAAAAGCAGTTGAAGAACACAAGCCACACACTAGACTTGAACCCTTCTCACTGGAGGGGGAAGTCCTGTGTAGGGTACTTATCCAACCACACCAACCTCCACCTAACCTAGCATTCATGGTGTGCTTTTATATACTACAGCACCTTACTTACTCCTTTCTTTATGCTATTTATGGTCGCTAGATGTCACCAAGCTATAACACGTTAACAGCTGGCCATAGTAAACCTCTGGCATAAATAACATATAAGGACAGTCTCACCAGAAAGTCCATATCATCAAAGTGTGTTTTAATTAGGCAGCTCTTAGCAGTCATAGTAACTATGACAGGAACAGTGACATTGCTTAAAGAAAGACTATGGGTAAATCCCAATTCCTTTAGTTGCATCCACATTTCCCTCACTCATTTATTTTCCTTGTGTCATTGTCCTGCCTATATAAGATCAGCAAAAAATTTGGGCTGCCCCCAAATAGTCGAATTGTTGAGTCATTAGTCAAGAGACCTGTCAGTTGACCATGGGTCCAGTTTGTTCCCCCATCTCCATTAAAATGCAATGCACAGCTGTTTACCGACTGTTTCTGCAACATGCATCTGTCAGAACAGGACTAGGAAGCTAACAAAAATGTGCAGGGAAAACTTTTCAGTGAGGAATTATAAATAAGAGGAATTGTTTGCAGTGCATGCTGGCACACATCAAATGCACAGTAACAAGTACTGTGGTTAACTAACGGGAGAAGTTTACGCTTTTTGGTAAACTAGGCTATAGCCATGTTTCAGAAAAAAACTGTCTATAAGAGCATTGTTTCAACAGAAATACATGTGTGCTGTCCATCCCATTATTTTGACAAATCCATATTGCAGCCCAACACTATCCCTATAAATCCATTTGTATCATATTTGCTACATGGGTTTCTGAGCAAAAAAATTGCCAAAAATGCCCTATGTATCAAATGTGATACAAAAAAATAAAAATAATCTTAATAATATGGCACATTTATTCCTATATGCCTGGACTGTCTGTTTATGCATAAATGGCATATAAAAATCTTGAAACTTGACTCTTGAATTTTCTTTTGGATTTTGTTAAAAGGTTTAATAAACATCTCAGTTCCAAAATATTAGAATGTTCTGGTTATTTTTTGATGTGTCAGGCTTTACAGGGTTAAGTATGGTCAATTTAAATAGGTCACAGTTTAACTGTTGCATCATATCCACCTGTCTGTGGTTGATTTTTAAATGCTCAGAAACATGTTCCTGTCACTTTTTTGCAGTTAAATACAGATGTTGAGGTGGTCGAAATCATCTTCATGCCAGTTGATTTTCTGATAGTCTGGGCTATTTAAAAAAGATGAATGGTCGAGCATTTGCACAGCCCTAGTTTAATGGACATTTGATACGCTTTCCTATGTTTACAGAAGGCCATGGGAAAATGTGAAGAAAGAGGAATCAAGGAAGCGTTTTTAGAGACATGAGATGTCCTTTCCTCCAGTCCTTCATCTGAAGCATCCAATCACCAACTGATTTCTGATACATTGGCATCAATCCACAAAATACGTGCATGAAGGATTCTATGTATCCCCACTCATGAACAAGAGCAGTTGTGTCCCAGTTTTTGGTTATGTTTTTAAAAGTTTTTAGGTGATGGTACACAGTAAACACATCACAGCAAACTTCCAATCACATCCTGTATTGAGATGGGGGCAGACATCTCAGAGATAATATCCCAAAAGCTGGACAGATGAAACCAAAACTGCCTGGTTAGAATTGACCCATGATCCAAACAGAACAGGTTTGAATAGTTGGTGTTGGTCAAAATTATTGGTGTTCCGATGTATGTGAAAGAGCCTTGGCAGTGTGATGCAGCCTTCATTAAGATGAGCAGAGCAGCATACAGACACACACACACACACACACACACACACAGCTTTATATCATACATTCACAGTGCTGGCATTCAGCTGATGCACTTATCAAGGTGAATGAACAGCACAGAACAGAGCGCATCCTCACCAGCTGCTCTCTGTCTGCGTCTTGCTTCCGGGACTCCACCTCCTTTCCATCCTCCCTGCCCTCACTGTCCCCCCTTCCATCTGTTGCACAGTGCCTACCTCACTCCATCCTGCCTAATTAAAGCTCTGTCAAATCCAGGTGAATTTACAGCCAATTATCACAATATCACTTAAAGGCATGCACTCTTATACCTCTTCTTCTTCGTCCTCTTCATCTGCCTTGTTTAATGTCAACCATTTTTAGTTTTGTATCAAAATGAGCAGGACAGCTTGCTATTTTTGATTTAGAAACTGCCAAACAAATGAAGCAGGCTGATACTGTATGTTGTGCAGTAATTTCTAATATGCATTCAAACACATGGGCTGCCACATAAACAAACCAACAGAGCTGGGACTGAAGGAGAATACTGAAACCCTTGAGCAGTAACTACACTACACCTACGTTTGACAGAAGAGCAACGCACATAGCTTAATGCATTCCAGAATAGCTAGCAAACCTCAAGTCGCACTACAAGCAAAAACAAATACATCAAACCAGTGTTTGTTGGAAGTGATGTTACAAATGAAAATAAAGGTCACGCGGATCGCGCACTGCCTGAACAGATGCTGAAACTTGTCTTATCAAAGGCAAGTCATTAAACTAATAAATGAAGAAAATCATGCATATAGTACTGTGCTGCACAGCTTTGATGCAGAAATCCCAAGTCATATGAAATGACACGCGGTAGTCATCTGACGCGCACAGCACAAGTGTGCCATTATGCTTGTACAGAGAGATGCTTTTACCAAAGTGCGTTTAAAATCTGCATAACTAATAAATCACTGGCCATCATAGGAGCACAGAATGACACAAACTGGGCCAAGCGGATTTTCTTGCTGGTCGTGACAAACACTTTAAATGTACTTGTGACGTACTTCATGCAAAGCACATTTCAGTAAAATAGATTACAGGCTGCATTTTACAAGCCTTTGTGACATAATTCATTCATAACTTTTTTCTTACAATTTGTATTTGGGGAATTATATGATTAACTGGGCGCAATTAAATGTTAATAAGTTATAATAAAATCATTCCCTGGATGTACAAGATTTTCCGCACAGTTAATTCATGTATGCATTTTACTTATTTTGACCAGCTCTGGGTGTCATGTTCTGTCAGTGCAAGCTGCAATGTCATATGAAAGTGAGTGTTGACAGACTTGTGTGAATATGCAATTCAGCCTTGCATGCAGCGTGTCCAGACTGCAGGACGCACGGATGTCCCCGCACACTTGACACAACAAAAGCAGTGATAAAAATGATGTTAGAACTCACCATTTTCTAGGGTTTCCTTGACGTTTGCATTTCGTAAAATATTCTAGAGACTACAGACAAGAAGAGCAGAGCGGTGTCCAGATAAGACAGTTTAGGAGAGTCTCCCCCAGTTCTGCAACACTCGCTCTAATTCCCCGAGCTGATTCGGTAGGAAGGTCGGTAAATGCACCGTGAGGAGCGTCAGGTAAATCCTTTGCTCAGATGCTGGCACTGGGCTGCTGGCAGTTGTGACTCTCTCAGTGTTAGGGTTCCCGGTAAGACAGCGACATCCGTCAGCTCGCTGGCCGTCCGCGGCGGCTCCTCTCTGACAGAGCAATGTCCCAAACACTGTCCATAGACACCTTCGAGAAATGTCGGCCGCGCTCGGCTGCTCCCGGAGCCACTATAGTGTAGTATAGGTTGTCAATGACGTCTAAGCTTTTGCATCATATAGCCGAGCTTGTTCTCCAATCCGTGGAAAATTATGCCAATTTTTATGGAGAGAAAAAAGCCTAATGCAAATCGAGACGAGGATGCAACGCAGGCTCAGACCGTTCCCTCAGGAAAAGACTTCTCACAGCTCTGACTTTGCAAAACAAATCTTGGGATATGTTTTTATACAGTTTTAAATGAGAGACAGGATCCTCCCCAGAGACTAACAATGCATTTTCCCAAGCCACTGCTCTGACTCAGGGAGAGAAGGTGCAGCTCCACGCAGCCCTTCCCTGTGTTCACTTGCTGAACAGTCGCCACACCAGGACGCTACAGTCCAGTCCATCGCCTCACTGGGTTAGTGGACTTTTAAATAACCACTAAATTACGTTGGACTTCTTTAATTGTCAAAATGGGAAGCACTTCATGGTGGGCATACAGGACAGCTTCCTATTGGCGATAGTCTGCTCCACTGGACCCATGCCTTTTCAGCCTAAAGGACAATGTCTTTGCACCAGTGCACCAGACGATATCAAGGAGAGGGTAAAAGAGGACCTACTGGGTGGGCAAAATAATTAAACCCCGCCGCAGCTATAAAAACACAGCATGCCTCACTTTTTGCACAGCCTGATGATTGAATGATTCATAGCTATGACTGTTTTCCGAGAAAAATAATTACAGTATATGGCAAATCAAAAAAGTAATTGTAACAAAATGGGTGCATTTTTCAGGCCTTCTCATGTTTTTGTTTTGTAGTAAAAATGTCATAATCATTTATGTGCTATTAAAACTAACCATACTGTATGTGTATAACATCTAATCTGTTACTTATCTATTACTTTGTAATATAAAATATTTTTAGATCTTGTAACATTCCTACATTCAGAGATCAGCAGTGGACAAGATGAGTAAGAACCCAGCCCTAAGACATCACAGCTTCTTTCTGGCAGCCGAAATAAAAACAAGAAACTGTAAAGGCACCAGTGGTTTGAGAAAATCCTAAGACTGCTGAGACAGAGAGAGATGAACTGCTTGGAATTTTGGAGAAGCCAATTAAAGGATTTTCCACAACTGAATCAGTTGGCCATGGGGAGTCTAGCTGTGTGGCTAGCTCTTGGAACGTAGAATGGTGGGGAAGGAGCCGGAGCCTGTGCAGGAGGTGGAGCGATCCCAGCTCTCTTCCATGGTGTTGCTGCTGCCCTCTGAAGAAGGATCCCACTTCCCAACTGCTGCTCTCCCACTTACCTGCAGTGTTATTAACTATTTCATTTGTTCAGTGATTTTGAATTAAAAATGTTAAACTACTGTTCAGTTTCCTGTACCCTGCATTTGGGTCCATCTGACAATGAGACTCAACTTACTGGAGTGATGACAAGATTAAAGTGTGAAGGGGAAAGGATACAAAGTTTGCCACTTCCAAAATGTCTACTTTGGACTGTTAAACACATTGATGATACACTAACTGCTGATGGTAGTTAAAAAATACATTTTGAAGTGTATAGATGCATCTGTTCAAGCAAATGCCTCAACTCATTGGCCAACAGTTCATTCAAAAGCAAGGAAGAGATCTTAAACATGCTGCTAATGCAACAAATTAGTTTTTCAAAAGTAAAACTGACCTTTCTTGAGTTGGCTCTGAACCCAACTAAGAATACCGTTTCATATCCTGAAAGGAAAACATAAGGGTCTGGCCCCCAGAATGAGCATGAACCAAAGACAGGCCTGGTAAAGGATCATCAGAGAAGACACCCAGCATCTGGTGATGTCTATGAATTACAGACTTTAAGCAGTCATGACATGCAAAGGATTAAATACTTTAATTACAGAGCATTTCTGTGTCCCAAACATTATAGTGCCCAGAAATGGGATGTTATGGTGGGGTCCCTCACCAGGGGGTGAGAGAGAATGAGGACTCAAAGTGCAATCTCAGGTGCTAGTAAGTAAGTGTCTTTATTGCAATATACATAGATGATAAGAGGACAAAGTCAACGGGTTAGGCGTGGTCCAAACCAGTGGAGGCTGAGTAGACCAGGACAGGCAGGTGAGTAGACAGGCGAGCAGCAGGAACCAGGATGACAGGTGAGTAGACAGTCGAGCAGCAGGAACCAGGATGACTGGTGAGTAGACAGGCGAGCAGCAGGAACCAGGAGGATCAGTGGACCAGGATGACAGGTGAGGATCAGTGGACCAGGATGACAGGTGAGGATCAGTGGACCAGGATGACAGGTGAGCAACAGGAACCAGGAGGATCAGTGGACCAGGATGACAGGTGAGTAGACAGGCGAGCAGCAGGAACCAGGATGACAGGTGAGTAGACAGGCGAGCAGCAGGAACCAGGAGGATCAGTGGATGGGAAGGTGAGCAGACAGCAGGTGAGATGACAGGTGAACAGCAGGAACAAGGAGGATCGCTGGAGGTAATCACAGTAGGGACCAGGAGGATCGCCAACTTATGTGGTCGCATCAAAACATGAAACAGATCACCAACTTGTGTGGCCGCATCAAAACAAAAAAAAAAAAGCTCACTGTTACTATCACCGTTTGCATCACCATTTCAGTGTCACCATTAACATAACATAACATCATAACCATAGGAATGTCAATATTAGTGTTACCATAACATCAACTTCACCGTGTCAGTGTCAATGATCTTGCGAAGATGGAGCGTCTGCCAGCGCGTTAAATAGGCACAGCTTAATCAGTGGGAATGAGCCTCAGCTGTGCACCAAACCCAGTGAGCGAATTAGCAGGTAATGCAGATCAGCTGCGTCGCCGATCCTGCAAGAGAGAAAGAGTGGGAAAGAGCATTAATAACGTAACATTCCTGTAATTTCTACATGATAAAACCCTTTAATAAAATCTGTGCATTTGAACCACATGTAATCTGAAATTGTGGAGTGCAGAAGCAAATGGATGAATGATGGGTCTTTGTCCCAGATTTTCTCTATTTATTTCAACTTGGCAGCATAATCTCTGATAATGTTACTGTAAAACTCAATATAATTAGGCTAACCATTAGACTGCTGAGTCTGATTTTTGTTAATGTATGCAAAATAAGCAAAGATACTAGTTTTATGACCCCAAACCTTCTAAAAAGGAAGTGCACTCTGTGTTGTTCATTGCATATGCACGATCTAGCTTTCGTTTCCTCTGTCAGTTTTGATGAATAATATGTATATTTCACAGTTGTTTTTGTTGAAAACTGAGTTACATAAGTCAGGAAAACAGTCATATAAACTGTGATGACACAAATAAACTGGGCATTACACATTAAAATCTCTAATCATAGAAGATCATTTTCCTAACGTTTACTCACTTAATCAATATCTCCTGGCTTAAGCATCATAGTTTAGACTTCCAAAAAAACTAGTCCAGCAGAATAATTATAAAAAGTTATTTATTAAAATTCATTTATACCATGAGATGACACAAACATTTTAATGGAACTTATTGTCTAAGGTCAGAGGTGTGATGGCAGAGTATGGTCTGTGAATTGGGGGTGGTTTGCAGGTGGCATGCCTAAAATCAAAATCTAATGTATTAATTAAAAATAATAGCTCCTCAGAATAAAATCGCTTCCAAAATGTCTACTTTGGACTTGTGGACACAACATATTTTAGGTCAAAATTAAGGTTTTTTTCATTGCAAGTTAAATAAATACAGTTGAAATTAAATATGCGTTTAGGACCCAACCAGAGTAGAAAGAATAAGAACACTCAATTCTCCTAATTCCCTAAAACCCTCCAGTTAATCCAAAATGCTGCAGCCAGAGTACAGTTAGGAGCTAACAAGAGAGATCATATTTCTCCCATTTTAGCTTCTCTCCACTGGCTCCCTGTAAAATCCAGAATAGTTTAAAATCCTTCTCCTAACATACAAAGCCCTTAATGACAAGGCTCCATCGTATCTTAAAAACCTCATAGAGCCTTATCATCCCAACAGAGCACTTCGCTCTCAGAGTGCACATCTACTTGCGGTTCCTAGAGTCCACAGAAGTAGAATGGGAGGCAGAGCCTTTAGCTATTAAGTTCCTCTCCTGTGGAACAGCTTCCAGTCTCAATCCATCATTTACATAAACTAAATGACAAAGATCATCACTGTCACTAACAATTTAGAACTAAAGAACAATTTAAACAATAGAAAGATGGTTCTTCTTCTGGGTATTCAAAACATAAGCAAGCAAAAATGGCATCACATTTTATCCAGCTGAGGATTTATCCTGATTTATACTGTAACTTTTAACAACTGTGAAGTTTGCAATAGAAATACTATCTGATACTGAGCAGCAAAAATTATGTTTATTTTATATTTTAAAATGTGAGTATTATATTATTACATTCTCACTGAATCTTTACAGGTCCCTCCAGCAGTTTGGAGAAATGATCTGGCCTGAATCTACAGGGATCTTATTACGGTGGCCTTGTCATGCAGGAGGAAGCTATTTAATCTATTTATTTAGGAGCTGCAGAGACGTTATGCTCTCACCATGCTGTTCTTCTTAGCCAACCTACCTGCCTCTTCCCTCAGCTGCATTTATTTGTGATGAGAGTCAAAGCTGAAGGAAATCTGTGGAGACCCATGGCTTAATGAAATAGTTTTGATTCTATGCCTGCAGTTAGCAGCCTGACAACCCTCTGTGGAAAATGAGGAAGTAAGGTTTAATATTGTAAAGAATGTTTTGGTGGGTCATGAGTTGTCAGGTCATCTTAAAGCAAGAAAAACTGTTATTAATCAGTCATGATCTCAAGTCTACATATGTAAAATATAGCCACTTAAGTGAGGTCAAGTACATGATTGTGACATAAAACAACTTTTAAAACACAAATCATCACATGTTAACAGAATTCACAACAGGCAGAAAGAAACACTAAAGTTCCCCAGGAATCAAACTAGTGATCGTGCTGTCACAAGGCATGGAATCCACATTAAAAGGAAGACATGAGCGGTACATATTAAAGCTGCAATAAGGATTCATTTAATATTAGCTAGTGCTAGCATAAGACTCTAGAATAAATTGCTTCCACTCCACCTAGCCCTCCCTCTCCCTGCTCGCTCCATTCTGCGTCACACAACCCTGCTTCACATCTATAGTAAACACACCACAACTGTATAACAGCGTCCACTACATCACAGGCGGACACAACACATTTACAGCCAGCACAGTATGTGAACAACCTCAGAGAAATGGGAGTTTGTCCTACACATGCACAGATATGTTTTGTGCAGCCATTTTGCATGGTCATGTCACAAAAACACTGAGCCACTCAAATTTTTCGTGTTCGTGTCTTTATGTTCCTATGTTGTTTTATTTTTGTATTGATATTATTTATTCTGGTTTTTTACATTGCCCTTGTAAAGTACTCTGGTTGACCAGATGATGCTTTTAAAGTGCTAAATAAATAAATTTTGATTGATTGAAATTTTTGTCATGTATAGGACATGCTGTTCGAGAACATGTCTGAAATTGAATAAAGCACACTGTTGAGTGTAGCTACATCTGAGGAGGGAGCGACATGGCAAATAACCCATAACTATCTAGCTGGTGCCAAATGGGAGTGTCTGCCTTTAAGAGTAGACTTAAGACTTTCCTTTTTGACAAATTTAGGCCTGGATCAGGTGACCCCGAGCCTTCCCTTAGTTATGCTGCTATAGGCCTAGACTGCTGGGGGGAGGCCATGATGCTGAGTTTCTCTCCTCTCTCTCCATGCACCAGTCTCATCAACCTGCCCAGTGTCTGATTGTTTGTTGTTGTGTTGGTTGTGTATTGTTGCTTTTCTTTTCTTTCCTC